AGGTAAGGGCATTTTTGAATAGACTGTTGATTTATTTATGGCACGACTGATAATCTAGGCAAATCTTTAAGTACTTTTAATAAGAAATGAATTTATCATTTTTTTTGCCAAAATTTGCTGCCATAAGATAACTAGGATGATTCTCTTGCAAAGCATTAGAACGAGCTCTTCCTGCTGTGTCCTTGCAGTGTGTAACTGCAGCGATCATGTTAATACGTTGTTCGTATTTTATTTTGTTTATACCACTCCTAAAACAAAGATACAGGTTCTGAATAAAAATATTTAATTCCTACAATTGATGTGTTCTGGGGTTTGGAACTTAAAAGCAGTTTCAAAGGTGTCTGGGCTGTGGCGTATTTCATGTTTCCTTATTTTCATATGTGTGTTCATTTTAAGGTGTCATACACCTTCAAAAGGGAAATACTGTGCCATTTTAAGAAACACCTTGTAGATTTTGTTGTTGTTGGTCCCTGTTGCAGCTCAAAGAAACGATGTCAGAGAGGTGTCCCTACATCAAAGGCCTCCTCTCCAACCCCGCAGAAAGCTCCTTCTGTCATTTACTTGGAGACAACTGTGCCTCTGCTTCCGTAGGTCATGGTGCTGTTTACCAGCCTGGCCTATCTTACTAAGACTCAGGAAACACGTCAGTTTTCTTGGAAAGCGTCCTTGTCCCTTTGTATTTCGCGGTGAATCCATTTTACAGCGATGCTGTCCACATACCAGTCTCGTCTGCTTAGCGCTTTGATTGTGTTCTCGGTGATATTTTGGGGAACATTCTGCCACTGGAACCTGTCGTTGCTGTGTACTTACCGAGCTCGCAGGCATGATTTGGGAGGACTGTAAGACAAACTAAATTTACGCTGCTGTTCTAGGAGGAAAGGGTGTGAATTCCTGTAACTTACTGTCTGCTTTTAGTGAGGAATTTTACTTATGTTTGTCTCACTGTTGTAGCTTTGTAACTGTGTTTTACCCGGAGGAAAATCTTCTACTTTATATGAATAGGTTTTGGACAGCTCGTGATTTTGCATTTTGCTGATAATTAGCACTACTAAGCTGTCAGGAGCAGTACCTTCAGTCGGAAAAGGAAATAGCTAAATCTCAAGAAAAAGGGAACCCCCTATGTTATAACTGACCTCTGTATGCCTAAATAACAGTCTTTCTTACTTAAACTATTGTTTCCAGCTCCATTTTCCCCTAGATAAAGAAGTTATTAGGGAAATTTTGTTAAGAGTTCATTGAAAAATGGAGTTTAATGTTTTAATTCTTTTAGTCTGTTTAGAGTCAGTCACACCAGTTCACAGAAACCTGTTCACACTATTTTATCAGCGTTCTGCTCCTTAGGCTGATGCTTTCAGATTCTGAAATACGAAGTTTAACCAGAATTCCCGGTCTTCCAGGCTCATCTTTTTGTTCACAAACTCTTATTTAGTTTCATATAAACTGCTTTCTGAAGTCATGATGAAGGATATTGTAATGTTAAGTGATGTTCTTTTTAGATAATAGTTTTCATATTTCTTTCATCATTTAAAATATTTCCAACATAAAGCTCTTTTTTCTCTGTGAAACTTCCTTGAGTAATTTTCTCTTATATTCTGAGTTGGTGTTCCTTGGTTGTTTTAGTAGGCACCTGAGTCATAATGAACCAGAAGTACTATTTTTAGTGCAGACTTTAAGCCATGTTCTCTGTGATTCTTGGATGCTTTGATATAAGACCGAGGTACTGTTTATGCCCAATAAAGTCTAAGGTCCTTCTTAGGTACTTCTTGCCATGAGTTCATTTTGTGTGTAGACAGGCTGATGGGGTATCCTTATGTGTGTTTTCCTAATGCTACCTCACTTTTTCTTGACTGGGTTTAATAGCTGTCTTTTGATGAACAGAAAGAAGAACCTTCTGGAAAAAAACATTTTTTTGGAAGATAACTTATAATTATGTTTTCCAAATTTTACAGCATGATTAATCGCGTTGGAAATCGTATTCTGACAGCTTCTAGTACAGAAATTGCCAAGGTTTGTTTTACCAGAACTAACCTAGAACTCAGAGGGAACTGCATGCCATTTAAGTCACTCATGAAAACAGAATGTTTACCCTTTGTGTTTACAGATGGAAAGTCAGGACAGTAAGTGACCCCGGGGTCCGTTGCCGTGCCCCAAAGCCTTTTTCTCTGATGTCTGGCAGATCTGGGGCCAGACTGCTGTTTCATTTGCAATCCTCAGCTTTTTTTCTTTCTCCTTTGCAAGCCTTGTATGTTATCTAAGGTCCTTGTTAAAGCTGATTGTAGTCACAGCGTCCGAATCCATTTCATTAGGACCTGGTGATAAGCAAGTCAGGAAAAAGACACACATGTAAAACAAGTTGATAAGAATGTTTAAGAATCTAGATTTCAGAGCATGGCCTGACTAATGCTTGTAATGGCCAGGCTTTACCGCAGAAAGCAGCTGGAGTCTGAATCCCAGGCCTTTCATTCGTGGGGACGTGAGTACATAGGATCATGTTCGGAAAGTTCTCAAGTTCTCTGAATTGCTAAATGATATTTCTGATTTATTAGAAGTTTAAAAAGAAATAATGCTTTTCAGGCTGCAGAGTAAGATCTGGTTACATATATATATATATATATTATCCTGATTCACATAATAAAAGTCACAGTGCTTGAATATTAAGCATAGGAATGGCTCTCGATCTCATTTTCACTCCACTGTTTTCTTCCCATGTAAAACAGGAATCATGTTTCATGCTGTTAAATGAACAGAGATAATATGGGGAGCCACAGGTTGGTTTATCGTAGTATAGTGTTCTTATGCCCAGCTAGAACAAGGGTATAAGACCCAGATCCTGGGAGCCGAAGTTGAACTAAAGTGAGTAACAATGCTTGAACAACAACCAGACAGAGCTTAAGGATTGATTTTGTTTCTCAGATCTGTTTATGGGGACATATCTGTGCTCTTTATGCTTAGATTAAAAAAGCAAAGGCGCTAAGAGACGGCAGAATGCCTGATCCGGCGACCATTCGGTGTCCTCATCAGCGGGTGACGAACTTGAGTCCCTTCATCTCTCAGGGAATGGAAGCAAATCCATTTAATCCCCGAACATAACAGTCTACTAATGGGACCTACTTTGTACTTCTCCCCCTTAATTCTAGCATGTACAGGAAACAGTTTAACTTTTTCTACTGAGAATACCGGTTCCTCTAGTGGAAAATAAACAAATCCAGCGGAGACATAAAATGTCAGTCACTCTTTTGCTGCCTGATTTCATACTGCTTGCTTTTTGAGTTGTGTCTGTTTTCTCCACAGTTTCTCTCTCTTCCCCTATAATCAACTGTCACTTTTGCTGCTGTGTTGTGTGCCTGCCTTCTGCAGTAGACCCTTAGTTTGCTGCTTATAATCTGCTGCGGACTGAGAAACCAGATTGCCAAGCTTGCTAGAACAGTGTCTAAACTAAGAGTAAGTAGACTGGAAAAGGCTGAGAGCTTTTCTGTCGGTCACGTGCATGGACTGTGTCATGCGTGTTTGGGTGCTTATCATTCCTGTGTGTGCGTTTCGTGTCTTACTAAAAACTTGCTAAAAATACTTGGTTGAAAATACGATTGCCATGTATTTGAAATATTAATTTGGTGTTTATGTGCTGATGTTTCTAGGACCCCTCGCTAATGAATTCAACTGCAAAAGAAAAATTGTCTATCATCTTTGTATATCACTGTCTGTATTTCAGTTAAAATGTTAGTCATTTGTTCTTGTTAATTAGTCTTCATTCAGTCCACAGGTTTAAAGTTCATGTCATCATTGTGAACCTGCTACAGTAGTTCCTGGCTTGAAACTAAACATGACTCCTGTAGTGAGAGTTGGCTAGGGACAGGGGATAAATCATTCAGACAGCCCAGCTCTCTAACAATATATGACATACACCTTAATCTTTCCTATATTAAAAACAACTATTACTGAGCTGGGAAGACGGCTCAGCGGGTAAAGTGCTTGCTGCACAGGCATGACACCGAGAACCTTCATCCAGATTCCCAGGGTGCATCTGTAACCCCAGCCCAGGGGGTTGGAGTCAGTGGTCTAGGGAAACACTGAACATCAACCCCTGGCTTGCTTAACACACACACACACACACACATACACACAAATATGTGTACACACACCCTCATATATACATGTACACACAGTCATGTATACACACAAATACACAAAATTGTTTTTATTATTATCATTATGATTGGTTCTTGAGACAGAGTCTCTCTATGTAGCCTTGGCTATCCTGGAACTCACTATGTAGACAAGGCTGGCCTTGAGATCTGCCTGTCTCTACCTGCCAAGAGCTAGGATTAAAGACATGCATTACCACACACTGAGAACTTATTAACATTGGCTATTATACTCTGATACTCTAAACACTGAGAACTTATTAATATTGGCTATTATACTCTGATACTCTAAACACTGAGAACTTATTAATATTGGCTATTATACCCCAATACACTAAACACTGAGAACTTATTAACATTGGCTATTATACCCCGATACACTAAACACCGAGAACTTATTAACATTGGCTATTATACCCCGATACACTAAACACTGAGAACTGTCCCTTTTTAAGCTCCATTTGCTGGGCTTTAGTTATCACGGGTTTGGTTTTGATAGTTACTCCCAGTCCTGCATTTATGTTTCCGTTTACTTAAGTGTGCTGGAATTAGCAGATCTTCTCCACAGTCACGTTTCTTCCGACCTGCTCTGAAGACTAGGTAACTCTGCTAGTTAGACTGTGTAAGAGCAAATAGAGGCAGGCCAAAAAGACCTACTACTTAAGTTCATCGCCTCCTCTGAAGCATATTTTATGACCGACTAGATTGCCGTCTTTGATCTAGTTAAATTACTCAGTTAAATATCTGCTCTCAAAATAGACTTGCTATGACACAGAAATATCCGGTTTTTTCAACATTTTGCCTTCTCTACAGTTGGTTGTATGTTGTAATTCTTTTGCAGCAATTAAAACCAATCCATTGGAGTTAGCATTGTTGTTTATATTTTCTACTTGAATTGGATACCACATGCTGTTACGAATTTCTTTGACTGTTTTTTAAAGAGAAATGCATCTTCACTTCCAAAATGAAGTACAGTAAGCCTGGAAAACAAGGAAACATTAATTATTGGTGCTATCTGAGAAGTAATGGGCTCGTAGACTCCAGGCCACAAAGACTTTATTCTTTAAGATGTAGGTTTTAAGCAGCACCTTTGCTCTCTCTGAAGTGCACATTGACAGCTTTCCAGGACTTATCAGCGTTGGAGCTAAGGCCAATAATAAGTGACAGAATTTCCACTGTCTTTCAGTAGCTAACATGCCTAAATTAGCCTGCAATGTATAAAATAAGCAAGATGACTCTCCTCTCTGAAATGAAAAGAGAATGTAACATTTTCGAGTAGAATTAGAGTCTGCAGAGAAGCAGCTCTCCTCGTCTCCATTTCCTTGTGCCGCTGATGGATTGTGCTTCGGTCGCCATGGGACTCACGTCTTCATTGTGCACAGGCCTTCTAGTACCCATCTTAAGGAAGGGAATTAGGATATAGTAGTTGTAAAAAGAATGCTCCATACCAGTTTCTTGTGTTGACACCACTGTAGAAGAGAGAGTGATGCTAGGCATGGTTGGCGCTTCTCTTCCAGTGAGCTGTTAGAGGAGCACACTTCTACTCAGTCCAGTTGCTGTAGACCAGAGAGAAGGAGTTCATGTCAGGGCTCACTTATTCAAAATTTAGCAAAATCAGGAAAAACTGACATCTCTAAATGTTTGATAAATGCAGGTGTAGTGGCGCACATCTTTAACCCCAGCACTCCGGAGACAGAGGCAGGTGTATCTCTGAGTTCGAGGTCAGCCTGGTCTACATAGTGAGTTCCATGCCAGCCAAGGTTATAGAGCAATGATTCATTGTGTCTTTAAAATGCAGTACATTAGTATCCACGTCAGTCTGTCAGCAGTGACATTAGTTTTGCCCCTGTGTACTGAAAGTCAATCAGCACGAGTGTTGCAGAAGTAGAAATGGTGTTTAGGATGTGTATACTTCTGGAGTATGCAAGCTTAAAAATGAGACTCTGTAGATGTGGTTCTAGATAGATGTATTTGTCCTTATTTCTTAAGAGTTTCTTAAAATAGGTAATGGTATTGTTTTAGGCTTTAGACTTTTCAGTTTTATAACATTCCCTAAAGATTGACTACATACGAATAAGCTTATTGTTGAATATTTCTTCTGAAACTAGAGTGGCATGTGTGTAAGTTCACTCCTTTATAATGGCCTCAACAACAGCATAGCCCTCTTTTCCTTCCCAGTTAAATGGCTAAATGGACTCCATCTCTAGTCTATGTTCTGCCCGTTTCACTACTAGTCTGTACCTTCTGTTCAATACTGTGACTTAACCCGTGCTTACTTAGGCGCAGTACTAGCATGTGACAATGTATGGAAGGCTCCAAGAATGTCACTCCTGTCCCTTAAAGGTTGCTGTGTAGCCCTGATACAGCCCTGAAGGCCCACATGGGTGAGAAGCCCAGAAGCCCATTCAAGCTGAAAGCACTCCCAAGGAGTTTGGTTTTGTTTGGGTTTGTTCTAGGTATGGTCCCAGGGATCCCAGATCAAACCAGGCCCCTGGGCCTATCCTAGAACCAACCTAAACCCGCGCATCATTCCTGGACCATCCAGAGTGTGAAGACGGAAGAGAACTGAGGCTGACCACACGTCCTGTACGCACCAAGATGCACTTTTATCTATGTTCCTATTGTTTAGCGAGCATTGGCTGGTTAATCTATCTGAAATCAAGGTGACAACATCCGGTGACAACATAAAGTCTCCCCAGACTAATGAATACTACAGTGCTTCCCATAATAGAAATTCTGTGTGGTTGTTATTGCCGGTGAGGAGAATTGTCCTTGTGCTTTCTGTCATCAGGTAAAATAGGTTAAAATGTCTATTTTAAGAAGTAGCAACTGAGCCACAAAGTAGCCTTTTCCCAAAAGGAATGAAATTTGTTTCCTCTGCTGCTTTCAGTAATGTTGTATCAGTCTCCTTCAACCGTGTGGTTAGTCACACTTTCTGAAGGGCGTCAGCCTCCATCTTTTGGTCCTAATGTAAGTGATTTTACATTACTCGGAAGCTCGCATCTTCTCCCAATCACTGACTGCTGCACACCAGAGCCCACTTTAGAAGTTGTCTGTGGTTCATGATAGCAAGGTAAAGTGAGACATTAGAAGTGGGGTAAGCCCTCCGTTTTTACATCAGGATTTTACAGAAGAATATTTTAGGAACGTGGTTTTTCTTCCTTGCTGCTCCAGATTTTTAAACCATTCTGATCTAGTCAATGTATTATATGGTCCCATAGCATAGCTGGCACTGCTGTAGTCAGCTGCATGTGTGTGTGGGTTTTTTTGTTTTGTTTTGTTTTGTTTTTTGATTTGGAAGACAAGAATTCTGAAAAGGCATGAAGAAACGCCCGCCCAAACTCATAAATTATGGTAGGCATTAAGAATATATGCTTTTGATATTTAGTATAGACAGTAAGCCCTCCATATGTAAGGAACTTGAAACTGGGCTGTCCCACTAATCTTTATCACACCAGCAAATGTCGGTCACTAGGTCACAGTTTAAAATGTGCCTGGTGCCTGTTGAGGCTCACGTGAATAACTCAGGTGTGGCATTGGTTCTATAGCATATTCATACCATGGACTTTTTTTATTCCAAAGATTCAACTCTGTGCCTCTCTCGGTGTTTTCCTTGTAGGTGATTTGCTTATCTGAGAGCACAACCAACTGTATGCTTGGCATTGCCTAAAATGTGTGTGCATGTACTCGATTGCTGTGCAGTGTGTTCTGTCAGTATCTGGGGGACACTTCACTAGTTTACATCACTAATTATGGGCCCTGGAAATAGAAAAGTGTGGACTGTTTATAATGAGTTTGGTGGGGGAGGTATTGTTTTGTTTTTAAACCGGGCCTCATATCCTAGACTAGGTTCGAACTTTCTATACAGCTAAGACTAGCCTTGAACTCCTGACTGACCTGCTTTCACCTCCCAGGCTCTGGTACTGTAAGTATGTACCACCAAACCTGACTCTGTTCTGTTGTTTTTGTTGGATAAATTTTTTTTTGTTTTGTTTTATATTGTTTTTCAAGACATTTTGTAACACAGGCTGGCCTAGAACTTGTATAGACCAAGCTGATCTTGAACTTCTGGCAATCCTCCTGCCTCACCTCTAGAGTGTTGAGATTACAGATGTGTGCCACCATTCTTGGCAAGGTTTGGCTGTTTAGAAAGTTTTTCAAGTCTGCTCAGTGGTAGAGTGCTGGCCTATCTACCATCTACAGGGCTCTGAGACCTATCTCAGACACCCTCCAACCCGCCAAAAATAGCCTTTGGAAATATTCTTTCAGATATTTTTTAATTTTGTTTTACGGTTATTTATGCTTTATACATTAGCACTTAGAACTCTATATTCCCTACCCTAACTGAAGACTTGAGGTTATAAAGTCTGGAGGGGGTGGCCCTTTTTAATTAGGATAAAACCAAAAATTTTACCATTGCCATTTTTATGTTCAATTCAGGAAATGTCTGTGCCTTCAATGAAGCATTTCCAGAAGTTTTCCTTGCACAAATCTTAAACTCTTCTATCAATTAGATAAGAGTTCCCCTTCCTCCTGCTCCTTCCCACAGCCCTTGGCAGGCACCGTTGTGTTTCCTGTTGTGACCTCAGTTCATGTCATTTAGCATGGGACAGAATTTCCTTTTTTTGGGCTGAATAATCTATACATTGGCTGCATGTCATTGGGCATCCATCTGCTGGTGGACATTGCTTGCCTTTGGGTACCGTAAGTGATGCTGCTGTGGCTATGTGCAGGTGTCTCCTTTCAGACACGGTACCTTATCAGTCACTGTCTGTGTTCTAGCGCACTGATTTGTTGTCAACTGTTTTTAAAGTGTTTAGAATTGTAGGCTTGCAAATGCTGTATAACTGTTCCAAGCCTAAAACCCCTCTAATAAAATCTGAAATGCCTTGCATATTGTTGTGTGTCTCTTTTTTCCCCTGCTGTTTGCAACATGAACCAGTGGCTGGAAGAAAGAAGTCCTTGCTCTCCCCTCCTGCCATTGCTTCTCTTCCTCTGCAGGATTCCCCAGTGCCTGGCACGGTATTGTCTCTGCAATCCTTAGAGTCATTAGCCTAACTTTCGCTTGTGAAATGCCTGGTGATAATTTATCAGAGTGAAAACAGCTGCTTAATTTTAGATTATCCAGGTTTTTGTTATTGTTGCAGTGTTTTGTTTGCTCAGGGTGTTTTTCTTTGTGTGGGTGGTTGGTTGCTCTGTTTGTTTGTTGTTGAGACATTGTTTGTTCTGGCATCAAAGTCCTAACCACCCTCACTCCTACCTTAGCCTTCTTCTGGCTGCTAGGGTTACAGGCGTACACCACCACTGCTCCTGGCTGAGTTTAAAATTTCCATTTTCACCATTCCCTCTGGATACAGCAGATTGTATCTGCTACCCTCCTGACTGAAAAGGCCGCTAGCATCAAGGAGGGCGTTAGTATCCAACGGTTCAGACCTTGCCTTGGAATATTCCTGGGAGCCTCCAAGTGGCTCTGTAAATAAAATGCTGGATAATGAGAAAGTAGTCTTTCTTGGAACTTTTAAAAATATCAACTATCTTTCTCCAGAAAATGTTTGATCAAGGAGAAAAAGTGCTCAAAAAAAGCAAGGTTTGAAACATGGTCTTGTCTGAGATTTGCTGGCTAAAAGTGTGAAATGAAAGTGGGAGGTGACGGCGCTCACCTTTAATCCCAGCACTCAGGAGGCAGAGGCAGGCTGATCTTTGTGAGTTCAAGGCCAGCCTGGTCTACAGAGCAAGTTCCAGGCCAGCACTGCACAGAAAAACCCTGTCTTGGAAAACAAAAAGACAAATAAACAAACTAGATCTCACTGGGCCCGGAGACGCGGCTCAGTGGTTAAGGCACTAACTGAGCATGGCAGCTCACAGGCTTCTAGAACTTCAGTTCCAGGAGCATCTGATGTTCTCTTCCAGCTTCAGGAATGCACATGGTACACAGACAGAGATGCAGGCGAAACGTCCATAACATTAAATAATAACAGATTCGTTTTTAAAAAGTGTGAGATGACTTAAGATAATGTGTAGTTACTCTACCGTATCCTGAAGTCACTGGGTAGAAAATAGCCCATGTGATAATCCTTTCTAGTCTTCACAATTTGCTTTCGAAGGTCATTAGCAGATGTGCTGTAACCATTGAAAATAAAGTTGGCAAAGAGTAATTTTCCTCGAATGTACATCTGGAAAAAGTTAATAAAACATTTTCAGAATTTAATCCCAGGAGTGGTCCTATTAATTTGAAAGAAAAACTTCAACCTAAAAGTATTCATGTTTATACACAGAAAACAGCATCCATATTCCTAGAGTCTGAATTTGAGGTTTAAAGCTAGGAACACAGGCCCCATAGTTGTGTCAATCAGACATTCAAAATGGTCAACCAGTATGCTAAGTTCAAAGACACGAATATGTGTCCTTAAGCATTATAATGTGTTTGCTTTATTTTACAGTTAACCACTAAGACAATACAGAGCCCTGGCGTTTGGAAGTCAGGAGATTCAAATGACCAACAAAAGAACAAGAACTCTGCAAATTGTGTAACCATATTCAGCCACTCGTCTTTAAGAAAAAGGCACATTAATGATTTGGAAATTAAACTAGACCTCTAAAAACATCTTCTGTTCCAAACATTGCTTACCTGGTTTTTATGGAGATGTGCCTGAGTGTATTTATGTGCACCAGATATGTGCAAGAGGCTACAGAGGTCGAAGAGGGTGGTTAGATACTCTGGGACTGGTGTTACAAGCGATTTTGAACCTTCCATGTAGGTGCTCGGAACTGAATCTGAGTCCTCTTCAAGAGCCTAAAGTGCTCTTAACCCCTGAGCCATCTCTCCAGCCACTTCTCAACTATTAATGAAGAGTTATGGCTTTTCAGTGTCAAGCCAAACTTGTCATTGCACACTAAGGTGTAAGAGAATCTTAAAACTTGAGACACAAAAAATAACTTTTAGAGACTGGGAGGATATGATTCCTCTTAAGGGTGGCAAGAGAAGAAAGTAATTAAAACTTTTAAAGCTTGTTATATATAGCACAGAATTTATGGTGTTGAAAACAAAGGATGCCTCATGTCTCCAAGCACTAAGCGCCTGAAAGAAAGCCTTAGAAGTTGTAAATTCTATGGCTCCACGTTATTCCTTTCCCTTTAGATTACATGATCTTTTCATCATAAAGGGGCGTTTTAACACGAGGTTTCCTCTATGGAAACAGAATTTTCTGATTTATCATTTCTGCAACAAAAGAATCTATTTCCTAGGTTCATCTACATGACCAAGACAGGATGAAATGGGGTGCTGTGTGGTTCCTGGACCTGAAATACTTTGTCTTTAGTCTTATTCTTTAACACTCATACCTGCCTATTAACCACAAAGCATGTATATTACTTGAACTTAGAAGGAGAAACTATACAGGTGACTAATAATAGGTTATTATTATTATTATTATTATTATAACCAATAGCAAAGTTATAATGGAGAACATGTATATGAATATTTTATAAGATCTGAAACACCAAACATTGCTTCTCAGTGGTGACAAGGATGATGTTTAGCCAGCACTTCTCCCCTTGAATCTAAAATGCTTTATAAAGAGAAAGTGTATCTCTGTGTGTTCGAGGCCAACCTGGTCTGCAGAGAGAGTTCCAGGACAGCTATACACAGTAAGACCCTGTCTTAAAGAAGAAGAAAAAAAAAAGGATGTTGATTTCTAAAAAGTGAGGAATTGGCAACACTTCCTTCTTATTTGGTTTGGGTCTTAGTCTTCCATTCTATTTTGAAGAATGCTTTCTATCCAATGTGTGTTAAGCTACTGCCTAGAGCCTGGTAATAACGGGGCAACAATGCTGTCGTGCCTGATTCCTGCCAAAATATCTTGATAATCATGCAGAGAAATGTTAGACCGGGGAAGTAATAAAATCCTTCAGATCATGTGATTCAGGGTCTGACCAGAGTTTCACATCTCTTGCATGCGCTGTCACTCCTCCTCTTCCCACCATTTTCTAATTGTTCCTAATAAAAGCTTAGAGTCAGATATTAGGGAGTGAAAGCTGAGGAATCAGAGAAGCAGAGCAGCCAACCACTAGAGAGGCCTTTTACCTCTACCAAATCCCCAGACCAGAAGGACAACCCTGTCCTCAGACGGCCTCCTCAGACTGTGCCCTGACTGACTGCTTCAGACTGCACCTCAGTCTGCTTCTGTCTCCACCAAACCTCTCTCTGCCCAGCCATATCCCTTCCTGTCTCCACCTCCCTAGTGCTGGGATTAAAGGTGTAGGATTCCCAAGTACAGAGATTAAAGGTGTGTGCTGCCACCACCTGGCCTCTAGTGGCTTAGCTCTGCACCCTGATCTTTAGGCAAGCTTCATTTGTGAAAACACAACAAAATATCACTCTACAGCCAACTTCATGAATACAGGTGAGAAAGAAGTCTAGTCGACCCTAAGGGTTTGGTCCTGTGCGTCCAGTCGTCATTTATTGAGGTAGGGTAGCAAGATGAGTTGGAGTAGATACCAGGCACCGGCTTGGGATTGGTTAGGTGGCAAATATTTCTCAACCCGCAGTTGGGAATGTTGAATAGGGCAGACTGATACATGCATGAGCGTAAGTTCAGAAGGAAGACCTAAATTGGGCAATGTATACGTTCTGGACAGTGTTTAAAGCCGTGAACAGAGGACTAAGGCAGAGCCTTGAGGCTCCACAATTTAGAGATCAGTCTTAAAGGGAATGAGTCCGGGCATCTGCAGCAGGACAGGAGACAGTATCCAGCAAGACCAGTGAATGTGGTGTTTCACGTAAGTGAACGCATCTAATTATCCTGAAAAGAACAATGAAGCCATGGGTTTCTCTTCTTTGGGCAAATGTCTGTCAAGGCCTTTGGGTATTTTGAACTGGGCTGTTTAGCTTTTCCTGTCAGTTTGTACTAGTCCCTTACCAGATGGATGCGTGCAGATATCCTCTTTCTTCTGGGTTTTGTCTCCACGCTCTTGACGCTGTCCTTTAATGCACAGGTTTTAAATCTTAATACAGAGCAATTTATGTACTTTTTATTCTATTTGATTTCCTTTTTTCAAAGGGGAGATTAACTACCTGAATCACAGGATGATTATGGGATTAAATAAATTAACATGAAAAGGGATTAAGACAGGGTCTGCCTGCCAGTTAAAATACCCTCAATAAAGTAAATTGGGAGCATGGGGACCATGGGAGAGAGTAGAAGGGGAGGGGAGAGGAAGGGAGGGAAGCAGAGAAAAATGTATAGCTCAATAAAAACAATTTTAAAAAAACAGATGCCCTGTTCTGTTGCTCTATTGCTGGCTGCTGGCTCTAGACTCCACCATGGAGAATACAATAGATGAACCCCTAGATTGGCTGCTAGGTCACTGTCATTTCTCTAAGGTCATTTTTAACAGTGTGGAGAACGTTTGTGTCCCTGGAGAGAATATCACATGCTACCTCACCTTCACCGGACAGTTTATCCTCTTTCACAAGGATTGGATCGGCATCTTTTGTGTTTTTTTTTTTTTTCAGACAGGGTTTCTCTATCCTGAAACTCGCTCTGAAGACCATGCTGGCCTCGAATTTATGAAGATCCACCTGCCTCTGCCTCCCGAGCTGGAATTAATGGTGTGCGCCACCACTGCCTGGCTAGGACTGGCATCTTTAGAGTGGGATGGAAGATGAGCCGGGAGTATTATACCTTCACGTGGGTTTTTTTGTCCAATGTCCTGGAATCAGCCAAGCAGCAGAAAGTTCAATTTAAAACGTATCCGCCCAAGGATGATGGGTCTGACCGGTGCTGCTATGTGGACCAGGAGGGTGTGGTCCAGGGAGCAAGTAGAGGGACTTCATGGTTCTTACTACTAAGGGAAAGATGGAAGGGATCCAGCGGTACGAGGAGTTTTGCTGAGGAAACCAGGAACTGACAGATGTGCCAGCCTCCAGGAGCAGAGCTGAGCTGTAAACAAGCAGGAGGTGTTAGAAATGGAAGCATCCGCAAGAAGTCAGAGCAGAAGACAGCTGCTTCAGCTGACGGAACAGAGCCAAAGATACCCTCAGAACACAAGAAGATGGGGGTCAGAGTGGATCAGCTTCAGACCCAACCATTGCCTCAAGAGAAAGAAGTAGAGATGCGGGTTCTGGGAACTCAAGATAAGATCAGGCAGCTGGAACTGCTGAAAAATGAAGCTAGCCAGCTCATTCTTGGTTTGGCTGACCAGAAGACGCTTGAGTGGATGGGGGGGGGCAGAAACCGAAGGAAGCTGCTGAAGGAAGAAATCACAGACAATAATGAACTAGCGCTCTGACCAGTCAAGAAGACTAATTGACAACAAAATCATAATCAACGTTCTGAAAAGAGATAGACTAGAAAGAACATGGTCTAAAGAAGGAGAATGACAGATTACTGAGCTACCTGGGGCTCAGTGTTGACCCTTTGCTGCATCAAGTGTGACCTTCAGATCGAGGACCTGCGGGAGCAAAACCCCGGCCTTGCCTGTGGAAACCCATATTCGGACATCCAAGAAACTCCACTCCCGGTCCACTTCGGGGAAGGAACACATCAGACTTGGGTGATGGGATCTGTGATCGCACGGTGGCGTGGCAGCAAACGCAGTTCTGGCTTCTGAATTGTCCGACTGTGCCAAGGCCTTCCCAGCAAGAGGGAAGCACATCTTTGAAGACCTTGGGTTCTGCTGTTGTAAGTCTTCCAGTCTGGTAGATCTATGCTGTGTGCAGACCTGATCGTGTAGAGTAGGTTGTTTCTACTGGAAGTTATCCAAGCAGAAAAGCCTGCCTAACCAGAAATCATTAGTGACTCACGTAGCACCCTGGCCTTCAGGGGCAGAGTGTGTCCATTATCTGTGGATGGCTTCTGCTTGCACCCCGAGTCAGGTAGCCCCAATTTATCAGCTTCTCATCACAGTACCCATCCTTCCTCAGATCCGGTACGAGGTCCAGGATGGAGCTACCTGCTGCTTCACAGCCACATGGCTGACACCAAGTGATTGTCTTCCAAGTACCCCACTGCATCTGCAGTCCTCACCGTGAGGGTAGGAGCAGGACCAGAGCTGGAGTGTTTCTTCATCGGCCTCAGTGCTTTCTTCAACCAGTTGCATTAAATTAGCACAAAAATGATGCAGCAAAGAACCAAGACTCTAAATACGAAGAATTTATCATCTTCACTTGTCA